TTGATAGCACTGTGATGGTGTGTGTCATCTAGTACTGAACTAAGTGGATAATACTGAGCCAGCTTGTGGTGTTTCTGGATGAAAATTTTCTTCTTTTACAATAATAGAGAAACTCCTGCTGGTTCCAAGAACAAGATCCCAGACCAAGCTATAGCTTGCAGTTAGGACCCAGCAGCTGAACATCTCCTCAGTATCCCGTGGGTCTGAGTGAGTTGCTCTGTGGCTGAGCTGCCACCCAGTCAGGGTCAAGACTGTTGACCAGAACCTTAACAGTTGTTTTTGTTTTGTGTTGTTTTGTTTTTTACCTCATTTCCTTTCACAGTGAACTCCTATGGTCAGCCCCAGCCTCCCCATCTCTTCTCCGGGCCATCTCCTATGTACCAGATTTCCACCCAGGACTCTCCAGGATATAATCGCCCAGGTAAGGAGTGACATTAAGGCATATTAGACCAAGGAGCATTAAAGAATTGGTTCCAACCCCTTTGTGTGTTTCTACTAAAGCATTTAGTAACCAAATGGAGCACTGCAGGTAGAGAGGGAGGCTGGACTGCAAAAAAACCTCTGTTTAGGGTTCTGCCATAGCTTTGGAAAGGTTTAAGGTATCAGTGGCCTGATTTCTTTCACTTCACATAGACAGTCTCCCAGTTCAGCCTCACCCTCAGTTGGTTGCTTGAAGGCAACTTTACATGAGAAGCTTCTATTGATGAAGTCCTTTGTGCTCTGTCAGCAGTCAACTGTGAGAAAAGTAAAGGAGGCTGAAAGTTAACTTCTGTAGAAGATGCTGTGGAGAATTTCACAGCAGACCACCTACAGACTTTGGTAGGTGCTGTGTGACAGAGAAATTGATGCCAGTAGTGTTCTTGTTTGTTAGACTATTGGAAGGGAGAAGGCCCAAACCACTTTGGGTTTCTTTTGCCCAAGAGCCCCCTGTGAAAAAGCATGTAGTTCTTTATTCTAACTGTTCTTTCCTTTTTTTTTTTTCTTGTTTTTGGCTCAGCTCATCATCTGGTCCCCCGGCCTCCAGGACCTCCTCCAGGCGCCAATGAGGAAATCCCCGATGATTTCGACTGGGACTTGATCACCTAGCGAGTTACAGACTTGATAGGCCGTCCTTTGTGAGGGACGTGGGAGGGGAGGGAGACATGGGGTCAATGGTGTCAGCACCGCCCTCCCCAGCCTCCCTGCCTTGCCTGTATATAGATATATATTCTCTATCTCCGCCAGAGAAGCCACCGCAAGATGCTGCCGAAGATAATCCTTCCTTGCGTCCTGTTTTATCTTCTTTTCTTCTTTTGTTTATTATTATTATTGTTATTATTATTATTACCAATAATTGAGCACAGCCCTCCCCCTCCTCTGGTGGCCTCGGACGCATCGGATCAGCTTTCATGTTGTGTAGTGCCCTATGAAGGGCAGAAAGATGGGTCCTTGGTGCCATGAAAAGACCTTGGAAGGCTGAATCCTCGAGTGCATCTTTCTCTGCCTCCGTCATTTTGCGTTTAACAATCCCTCTTTCCCTTCAAGGTGGCCGGTGAATCTGTTGTATTGGCTACTGGAGTGAGAGAGCCTAGTGGACCCTGGGAGCCTGTAGTTATGTTGTTTCGTAAATGTTGTAAAGGTCAGGGGGCTGAAGGGACACTTGGAGGGGTGATCTTAGCTCTGTGAACTTTGTTGCACCAGCAGGAACAGCAAGAAAAGAAGTGGTGTTCCCAAGTACAAAGAGAAGGTAGTCCCTGAGGCAGGGAGAGCTAAGCTGAGCTGGGAGGGCAGACCTGAGTTTGGAGAAAGGAGAACGGGGCAGAGATGGTATTTCAGCACTGAAGTTGGGTTTCACAATGTGGTGCCATCTGTGAAGACAGAGAGATTTTGAAGGGAATCCTGACCATTTCCTACACTGCTTTTTGCAGTCTCCAGGTGAAGCTTAAATACCCATCAGATAAAAGAAGCAGTCAGGGGTCTCACATGTGATTCAGAAAATTCTGTTCCCCAGAGCTTTTAATTTCACCCCCTATCCCTGCAAGCTCTTCTTCAAAACATGTAGTGAGGCTCTTACTTGCATATGCAAATTTGGAAATTTTCTCCCATCAGTATTTGTCCAATTGTTATTTGGCCCTCTGCCCCTCAGATTTCTTTGGAGACTGTCTTTGCCTGTGTTTTGAGTGCCAGCAGCAGGAGCCTTGTTGTGTATGTGCATGTCCTCTGTCAGGGGTTCCCACTTGGTGAACGGGCTCGTGGTGGGCAGATGAAGCTGCTGCACAGACTGGGAGGGAACTTGAGGGACTTCTGGTCAAGGGCTGGACCCTCTGGTCAGGTACCGGGAGGCCCTCACGAGCAGTTTTTGTAAGAGGGGCATTAGAAGAGAGAGGATGAAGCAGGGCAGGCTTTTAAACCGAACAGCTGAAGAGTGTAGTATAAAAGGGAGGTGGGTGGGTCAGACCCCTTGCAGTTCAGCTGGAGAGATGACAGCATCTGGTGTAAATCCTTAAGGATGAGTTTTGTCAGCACTTGCAAATCAGGAAGGTGGAAAAGGTGCAGGAGCAGGAGTGAGTGTTGAGATGCCTCCTCCCCAAAGCTATGTCCTGTGTTCCCCTTTTTTTCTGGTATGGCTCTGTTCTGTCAAACCTCTTGCTTTCTCTTAATATTTTGTAAAGCCTCCCCCCATCCCTAATTCCCTGTTTATCAGTGAAGGGAACAAACATGGAAATAGACCGTCATGGCCACTTGACAAACCTGGGGCAGGGCAGTAAAGTAATAACCTCTACTATGACTGCAGGAAGGTGGGGAACTGCCATTGCTTTTTCAAATTGCTGTAGGGATAAACCAGTCGGAAATTGGATCTTTGTCAGGGAAGTGGACAGTCTTGTTGTATCAGGAGGGGGGAACAACACTTTTTTTTTTCTTTTTTTTCTTTTTTCTTTTTTTGTTTTTTTGGTTTCTTTTTTTTTTGTTTTGTTTTAAGTGTGTGTTTGGGGGGGAGTTCGTCATTGAGTATTTCCAAGAGAAATGAGGAATCCCGGACAGCTTCAACATGGAGTCAGCTGTTATCTCTGCTGATTCAGGATGGGAATAATACATCTTGGAAGCATGTGTGATAGGTTTCTGTGGGAAGTGGCACCAGAGATAACTCATGGCAGGTGCCAGTTAATGCTTTGCAAAGGACATTACTGAGAGCCGGCCCTATGGAAGTCTGAAAACACCACCGGAAGAAAAACAAACCAAGATGGCTCCTTCTGCGTATCCAAGTGCTCCTCATTTGCATATTTGCCTCATTTGCATATTAAGTTGTGCCTCATTTGCATATGTAAATACATGCCGGTCAGTGTGCAAATTAGCCTCGTTCCTCTGCCCCTGAAATAAATGTGCGTTGTTAGTGCGTGGAAGACATCAATGGGGTGGGCAGCACTGGCCTGCAGGGAGGGGAGGGGGGCCAGCCTGGCCTGGAGGAAGGTCCTGCAGGCCCTTCCAGCCCGGTGTGGCCCCCTCCCCGTGCTTCATGTCAGTGGTCAGGGAGAGAGGGGCGTGGTTTCACGAGTTTATTTTTGTGCATGCTTTCTTAATAAAAAGAAAAAGTGAATGTTTATGGTTTAACTCTTTTGGTGCCAGTATTGATTTTTTTTCCCGGCGGCGCTCATCAGGTTGGCTCAGGTCCCACCTACTTACCTTGGAATTTTGGTGTTGACATGGCTAAATGAACCTGTATGTACTTTAGACAGAGACTTTTTTACGATGTTGAGACAAAGAGTTGGAAGTTCTCCCAGATAACTGTTTTTGAGGCACTGAGATCTGTGAGTCTTTCAACTTGTGCTCACCAGAAAGGCAGAGTGAAAACTCTACCAGTGTTTGGTGGCTGTCATACCATGTGTTGACCTTTCTCTTTTAAGGAAGGAGCAACACAAAAAGCAGATTTTTAAACTGCTTCCATAGAGTACCTAGTAAATGTATTACCATTTTTCAGGAGCAGGGAACGTTCAAGCTTGGGAACACCCCAAATAGCCTGACTGGATGAAATTTTTATCTTCCTCTGCCAGAAGGACACAAGAAGCACACCTCTCTTGTAAAGAGAGCCTGATGTGACTGAGCCCCAGTGTGCTCATTCCCCACCTTCTTGAGGTTATCATTTCTCAATTCCAGAGTTTTGCCAAATGGCTGATAGTCTAGCAGTCATCTGATCTGGATCATCTGTGACTACAGCTATTTAAATTCTGCACATGTGCCATCTTGAAATACAGGAGGTACATTTGGATAATCTCAAACTACTTCCTAAAAGGAATATTTGGGACTCTGGTGGTGGAGAGAGTGTTGTGGAGGCAGTGAGCATGCTAATGAACATAGGTACTGCATGTGCATTGGACGAGTTACAGTGATGTATTTCCCAGTCAGTTCAGTGCAGCTGCCTGGGGCAAGTGCTGCTCTAACACAGGGCTGTAAAGGAATCATAGAATAGAATCAGCTGGGTTGGAAGGGACCTCCCAGATCATCAAATCCAACCCTTGATCCACTACCGCTGCAGTTACTAGACCATGGCACTAAGTGCCATATCCAGTCTCTTTTTAAAAATCTCCAGGGACGGAGAATCCACTATGTCCCTGGGCAGCCCATTCCAATGTCTGATCACCCTCTCTGTAAAGAAATTCTTTTTAATATCTAACCTAAACCTCCCCTGGCACAACTTGAGACCATGCCCTCTTGTCTTGCTGATAGTTGCCTGGGAGAAGATACCAACCCCACCTGGCTACAACCTCCTTTCAGGTAGTTGTAGAGAGGGATGAGGTCTCCCCTGAGCCTCCTCCAGGCTGAACAGCCCCAGCTCCCTCAGCCTCTCCTCATAGGACTTGTGCTTGAGTCCCTTCACCAGCCTTGTTGCCCTCCTCTGGACCTGCTCCAGCACCTCAGTGTCCTTCCTGAATGTAACATTACCCTCTAGGGGAATCTTCAGATACTCCCCCACACACCTCAGGCCCCAAGTAGAGACAAAGGAGAAGAAAGATGTGATCACATTCTGAGGAGAGACATCAAAGTGAGTTTTATCTGCAGTTTATCAGAGACAGGAGATGTAGAACATAGACATATGGAAATAAAATAACATCTCAATTCAGAGGTTCAGCTACATGATCCCACCACATTCTGCAGCCCTGCTTTCTTCTTTAAGTGTTAAAATACTCTCTCTCTCTTCTGCTTCACCAGAGTCTTCCCTCACTCTTGATACTTCCAACTTCCCATCTCTAGAGTAGGATGTAAAGGGGCTACTTGTCATGATCTGAACCATACAGTGTCCTGGGTGTGGAGTTGCAGGCTAATGAAATGTGTTAGAGCAAAAACAGCTGTTAAACAGTGACTGATGTGCAGGGCCATAGCTTGGTCTTTCTGCAATGGTGAGAGGAAGTCCTGCATTACACTGTGCTGCTAATATTCTTCTCTGCCGAAGTCTGGCTTCTGTGAAGGGTTGAACATGTGAGTTCATCACTAAAGGCACCTTCCAGGATTCCTTGCACTGATTGCCGTACCTTTGCCCTGAAGTCCCGTCCCACAAAAACATAGAGCAGGGGGTTGATGCAGCTGTTGGCATAGGCAAGTGCTGTAGAAAGGTGATCCCAGAGGATCAGTGACTCCGTCAGTCCTGTTCTAAGACTAGGTACAAGGGAGAGAATCCCAACCACGTGGTATGGAGCCCAGCAGGTGAAGAACGCAGCTACCACGAGCACAACTGTTCGCAGCATCCTGTTGTGCAGTTTGCTAAACTGATTTGCGCGAGTTCTGAAAACAATAAGGACGTAGCAAACTGCCATTATGCCAAAGGGGAGCACAAAGCCAAAGACAGCCCTAGTGATGTTTATTACCACTAAGGCAAGGGGTACAGAATAATCACCTTCATAGGTATTTCCCAACAAGTCGTTACCATTGTAGGCTAGAGGTGAGTATTCTTCCCATGACTCATTTGCAGACTCATTTATATAATCTAGCACCTGATCGTCTCCAAAACTGTACCCACACTCAGTTTTGCCATCATAAGTGCTTGTCTTACGGTAGTAGAAGACAGGACAGCAGAAAATGAAGGCCAGGATCCAAATGCCACTGCATATTAGCGATATAAATTTCACTGTCCGATGGTTTTGACACCAGACAGGTTTCATGACAAGGAGGCACCGGTCGATGCTGATGGCCACGAGTAGGAAGACACTAGCAAACATGGTGAAGATTATGACTGATGGAATGACTTTGCAGAGGAACCAACCATATGGCCAGTGTTCATGGAGGGCCAGGTGAACAATGAAAAATGGCAAGGACAAGCAGCACATCATGTCAGCCACAGCAAGGTTTAGGAACCACACAGTGTTCACAGACCTTTTCATTTTCAGACCAGCTACCCAGATTACCAATCCATTGCCTGGGATGCCTGTGATGAAAACAATGATGAAGATAGCAATGGAGACAATTGATACCGATGCATAATACACAGCAGCCTGTTCCTCTGAACTGCTATTGCCCAGGAGCTGAGGCATTCTGCAGCTATAAAACAGAGAGCAAATTAGTAGCAATTCACATTCTCCTCCCCAAATTCTTCTCTTAATCTTTCATGAAGTCAGGTTACAGTACAGACCTGTGAGGATACAAGGGCATTGGTCTATACAAGTTTGTGCTAAAGGTTTACTAATGTGACCATTGTACACCTTCATCATTCTCGTAGTGGCTAAGCTACATAAGCCCCACTCTTCAAACAGGTGTATGCATTTACATTCTCTTATCTCTGTCACCCCCTTTGATATCTGGTTCTCTTTAGTCTCCAAAGTGGCGCTCCCTGTTCACATGGCCATGCTGTCCCCAGGTGTTTCCTGTTGCCTTCCTGCTTTGATTACACTTCTCAGAAAGGGAAATCCGTGTTTTTAAGTCCTGTTCCCTTTAAAACGAACAATTTCCTCAGGCATAACCAGTGAAATACATGTAGGCTAAGAAAGCGGTGCTTGTCTGGACATTATAAATAGAACACAGAAGACAGCAACTCTGTTGCTAAGGGGTATTTTAGGGCTAAGGAGTATTTTAGGGAAGTCTTAGTAACCACTTCCTTCTCCCTCGCTTGTATTCTGACCTGTCTGCTGGTTCCTTGGAAAGCTAGTCTTGATGAGGAGAAAGGCAAGAAATTAATGGTTAAGGTTCTATGAAAGGCAAGAAATGAATGGCTTAAGAAGAACAGAGATTTATTTGTAGAAATGAAAATGAAAATACAGAGTAATAGCAGTAAGGTTCTTGAGCCATTTTAGATATAAGAGGTGCCTTATTGCAAGACAATGAAGCTGAGCTACCACATACTTAAGTGACATGTTAAAACTATGAGAGTAGTAGAGGAACAATGTTAATTGCTCAGTTATTCTTGGACTTAGATATTAGTAAATTTAGAAAGGAAAGGAAAACCAGCAAAGCCAAGATAGAACTGAGAAAAAGTGCCCAATCTTCATCCTTTAGGTATTAATAGATTTGTCTATAAAATGCCTGTTAACTAAATCCTTGCTGAATCAATGAAAGCAGTTGTGTTGCTGAAAGGTCCCTAAAATGGTACTAAAATGCAAGGAAGCTGCATAGTTAAGAGCTGAATACAGCCTGCAAAAGCAACTGAGAAGACATGAATAACATAACTGACCCTCTTTTTACCTCTGTTATGCCAGTACTTAAATGACAGTCAGGGACTGTTTTTTTGCAGGACTAAATATCAATATTATTAAAAAAATTTCATTCAAATCATCCATCTCTTTCTTGCATAACATATAGTCTAAATGTGGAGTGATGCATAAGTGTTAGAACTGCTTCACCAGGAAGAAAATTAGATTGTAATTTGCCAGTTTTTAGTAATAACTGCTAAGACGTTTTAGATGAGGGTGACCTGCAAGAAAAGCTATGAAAGAAGCCTCTGTAAGACTTAACTTAAAGCTGGAGTCTTAACTTAAAATTCTAGCAAGTTTGTTCCATTTCCTGTGGTCTTGCTGATACATGCAGAAGTGACTTTTACAGGGCCAACTGGAGAACAGTGCTGCACCAGCTGAATCTTGTTGCCTCCTCATATAGTTACAGAAAATGGTGCGAAGGGGATAGGGAATCAAGGAATGCTGTAAAGACAGTAATGCAAGTCCTATTCCAAAGTAAACAGAGAGACAAATAAATACAAAGATACTGCCCACTCTATGTTTTCAAGAGGGCTAAAAGGGCTGAAATGTTGTTCAAAAATGGAAGAGGAACTGGAGGAGAGAGAGAGGTTTTCAGGAGTGAATAATAATAAATTGCAAGTAGAAGAGGAAAGCAGCTTATGATACCTACCTGAGTGAAGTTATTTCAGTGTGTCAGGGAGCAAGTACCATCAGTCCTGTCCCTGGAGTTACTGAAAAAAGAAACTCACATGACATTTTAGGAACTGCTTGTTGTTTCCTGTATGTGTGTGCCAAGTGTGTTCTTTCACCCTGATGGAAAGGCTTAGAATGATTCATATTTGAAGTTTTAGATATCATCTGCTCTTTAAATAAACAGTCAAACCAAAAGAAGTTATCCTGATATTGTCAAAATAGTGGCCTAAATAAAACATTAGTAGAAAGCAAAGGAATAATGTGCACAGACCTATACTTTACTAGAGTTTCCATAAGACAACTGAATGACATCTTGCCTGTTGGCATAGTACTGACATTTGATATAATTCATAATTCCAAACTCTGCCATGTTACTGTCAAATGTCTGACCTGTTGTCTTGTAGCCACTTCCATGTTTTATCAGATCAGCACATTCACCTAGTTAATCCCATTTTTCTAGGATTCTTGTCAATCCAGATCAGCTTCTGTCCAATCTTGAGACATCTTAGAACATTGTATTCAGCAAACCATGACTGGTCATGTCAAAGGGATTTTAATCTGACTTTTACATTTCAGGGTATTTAAACTCTATTTTTTAAGAAGGAACTTGACTGATAGAAAGTTAGAAGTGGTTAACTGAAATGCTGATTGCACAAAATGTGGCAAGACAATAAGAACAAAAGATCTCTAGGGCAAGAGATTGCCCCTCACAATTTGGCAAATCAAGACTGCTAGCAGAAATGACAAAGCCCAGACATTCAAGAATCAGCCTCGGTATTTTGGTTTTGGTCTGGAAAAGAAACCATGGCAGAGCAAAGTTCTGGTCCTGAGTGTGTCTCTGTGAAACCCACAAATGCTGCCTCCAATACAAAACCCGTGAAACCAGAAACAGGAAGACAGGGGAGGGCTGAGCTGTACCCCCAAGGATAGACAGGGAGTCTGCCAGAAAAATTTCTCTAGCTGCATCATATTCTCAGCTGCCATTCTTCCTGTGGGACCCCTCGGACCCAGACAGGCAGTGCTGACAAGAGGTTACTCTTATGGGCTCCTGTTGGCCGAGGGACACACAGCCTGGTCACCACCGTGGAACTTGCTAGCTCTAGTCAAACTCTACTTTGCAAGAAGGTCCTTCTCCACCAGTTTTGATCCTCCAAGTTAAAACCTCTCTAAGCTTTGGTGTTAATCCCAAATTACCACATTGCATTTTCTTCTCTTCTGGCTCTCTCCATTCCCCTTATGATATAGAGGCTGAGCTAGCTGAGAAAGGCTCTAATTCACAGAATCACAGATTAGTTGAAGTTGGAAGGCTGCCTGGAGCCCAACCCCACTGCTCAAAGCAGGGTCAGCTAGACAAGACTGCCAAGGACTGTGTCCAGTTATGTCTGGGTATCTCCATAGGAGATTCCACAAACTCTCCAGGGCAATCTGTTCCAATATTCAACCACCCTCACAGTAAAAAATTGATTTTTTTTTGGTGTTCAGATAGAACTTCCTGTGTTTCAGTGTGTCTCTCTGGCCTCTTGTCCTGTTACCAAGCTCCACAGAGAAAAGTCTGTCTCCATCTCCATTAAACACTCCCATCAGACAGATGAAAAAAATCCCCCTAAGCCTTCTCTCTTCTCCCCAGGTTGGATGGGACATTGAGCAACCTGGTCTAGTGGGAGATGTCCCTGCTCATTGCAGGGGGTTTGGAACTAGGTGATCTTTAAAGTCCCTTCCAACCCAAACCATCCTATGATTCTCTTCTCCAGGCTGAGCAGTTCCATCTCTCTCAGCCTCTCCTTGCACAACAGGTGTACCAGTCCCTTAATTGCCTTAGTGGCTCTCCACAAGTTTCACTCCAGTATGTCCACGTCTCTGTAGTAGTGAGAAGCCCAGAACTGGACCCAGCACTCTAGATGTGGCCTCACTAGTGATGAGTAGAGGGGAAGGATCACCTCCCTTGACCTGCTGGCAACACTTCTCCTAATCCAGCCCTGGCAGTTACTGGCATTCTTTTCTACAAGGGCATATTGGCAGCTTATGTTCAACTTTCTGTCCACCAGGACCACAATGTCATCCTTCTCTGAAAAGCTACTTTCCAGGTGCTCATCCCCCAACATGCATTACTGCATGAGGTTGTTCCTCCCCCGGACTTTCCACCTCTCCTTGAACTTCATGAGGTTCCTGTCTGTCCAGTTCTCCGGGATGTCCAGGTTCCTCTGAATGGTGGCACAGAGACCTGGTGCTTCAGCCACTCACACCACTTCTGTTTAGTCTGCAAACTTGTTGAGGGTGCACTTTACTTCATCATCCAGGTCATTAATGAAGAGTTAAACAGTACTGGAACCAGTGTCAGCTGCAGCTGGACACCACAGATGGTGTACAGATGGATGAAGTTATTCTGATCATCACTCTCTGAGCTCAGCAGTTCAGCCACTACTCAGTCTATCTCACTGTCTGCTTGCCTAGCCCATATTCCATCAGCTTGCCTATAAGAATGTTCCTCTTGAAGTTAATCTTAATTAACAGACTCAACCAGACAGCACAAGTTGGCTAAAACCATAATGCAAGTTACCATGTATATTGCCTTTTCAGGCTTCTTACTACAAAACTGCACCAGTCCAGCAGTTACTAAACAATTACACCCATATGCAATTCCAAAAACGTGATCAGTGTATTTAAAAAAGCCTCCCTTCTGCAAGAGTATGCAGGTTGTCTCTGAAACACTTCAGCAAGAATGGAGAATTCTACTTTTATTTCATATTTCTTCCACTTCTGCAGTTCTCAAAAGCTTTGCAGCCTCTCTCTGACCTACCATTTATTTCTCTGCAGGTGGCATGTCTAGCTGGCTATGATCCTCCACAGACCTTGAATGTCCCTTGTGTATATGGCAAACTGATGTTCCTAAAACATCTGTCCAAAGCTCTTCCAATAAATCTGAGCCATAACTGGCACACCTGTATCTCTAGAAGGCACACTGCAGTCGTCTGGTGGCCAGGCCTTGCTAAGTACTTGCTTTCCTCCTCACAACTGTGCATTTAGGGACTCTCCAGTAACATGAAGTACCCATGGGGTTGCCCTGGTACTCCCCACATTTCCCTCTTTAAAAAATTCACTGAATGACTCCAGGGCACTTCTTTACAGTGTTGAGTAAGCTCAGGTAAGCACAAGCTTTGGACACCAAGTAGGGAACAAAGCCTGGCAAAACTGGTACCAACATAAAACCTACATAATCAAAAAATAGCCCTTCACAATAACAAGGTTTCAGTACTGGATGAGTGTTTGGGTCATTTTTTTCAGTGAAAGAAACATCATTTGAAATAGTATATGGTTTGTTTTGTAAAAATGCTCATAATTTTTAAGTTATCTAAAGAGTAATTTTGTGAGACTGGTTTCCCCTGTACCTTCTGTGCAGAAAAGGAAAATTCCAGATGTTGGGTACAATGAAGTAGGTTCCTGGGCAATGCCTTATTTTTTTTTTAAATAGGCAAAGCAAAAGCCCAAATGATTCTTTTGCATGGTTTATTATGAGGTTACCTACAGATTGGCATGAACAGTGCATTTTACCCTACTTGCACATCTCACATGATTGCACATTGTGGAGTTCCATCCAAGATTTCTGCTGTTCCTTGTTTTTTGTTCATTGAAAATTTCTGTGCAGGAAAAATACGGATCCTTCATTGCTTTCACTGTCTGATTTTAAATATGTTCTACTTCAAGATTTCAACCTCACTGCTGAATTCTTAAAAAAAAAAAAGGTAAAAAAAATTAAAACCTTTAGCTTTTATCAGCAGTGCTTTATAATTTCTTGGTCCAGAGATGCCTGTCTGAACCAGGCAAAAGAATGTTATGTTCTCTGCTGGTTAAGTCTCAATGGAAATGGATGTGAGGTGTATTCCTGGAGTCCTGGTGCTGCTTGCGAATTTTTTCTCACATGCCTTACAACAGCTGGCCTTTTGCCACTCTCTCATCCTAGAAGGACCATAGGAGGACTGTAGCACACTGAATGACAGCACAGTAAAGAGGTAGGTGAAATTTAGTATTGCTAATTGTGAATCACTCAACTTGGAAAAGCAACTGTAACTATACACACGGAGGGATGTACTCCAGATGAGTTATTAGAACTCAAAGAAAAAACTTAGCAGTCACTGCAGGATGTTCTCTGAAAAATCATGTCAACACACAACTCAGTCCAAAAGGTAAATGTAATTGCTTCTTGAACAATGAATGCTGTAGTACTCCCCGATCTTAAAAAGAATTATAAAATCAAAAATAATGAAGAAAATTATGACTAGACAGCCATTGCTGGGAATGGCTTCTTTTGGTGGACAAGCTAAATAGATGAGAATGGTTCACCTAGGAAAAGAGACAGGTGACAGTATGAGAGACATGAATTCTTATTTGAAAGCAAAAATTTACATTTTTTCATATTGCACAATCAGATTCACAACTCCAGGGATGATATGGGTAACTAGAAGTATAAATAAGTTTTAAAAAAATTAGATGAGTCCATAGAAGACTATAAAAATATTGCTAAGAAATGCACTAAACCCCTGGCCCACAGATTGCTAAACTACTATACTAGGGAAGTGTAATTCTGTGCTGTTTTACAGGCTTTCTTTACATTCTTCTGCAAGAAGATGTCTCTCATCTTGCACTGGCACAGTGCAAGGAGGGAGGCTGAGCTGCCTCTTACACATGTATCTGCATTGAGTGTGGGTGCCATGTATTCCTACTGGCTCCTGCGCGTGCGGATTCAGCACAGTTGCCGAGTTGTCTTTATTAGTTTCTTCCTTATCTTGGGAGTTCTGCCAAATGTCCTTGTGGCCCATAAATTCTGCATTGTGTCCACTATCAGTGGTACATCCTTCTCCCCCAAGCTTTGTTAACCTTCCCCGAGGTCTGAGGTTATTGAAACACGTCGAGCCCTAACAAGGTAATTCTAGTCACAAGTAATTTGTCTTTCTAGCACCTGGACATCACTTAGAGCTTGCTGGTTAGCTGCCCTGGGTTTCACGGATTAAAGCTCTCTTGTTGTTGATAAGGCTTGAAAGCATACAAAGATCAAACATCAAAGAACATCCTTTCTTAAGAGGATTTTTACATATTCTGTATTTTTGCGACAATTAGGCAGTACTCCGCTTCACAACCCCCTCCCTCATTTCCTGGAACTTCTTGGGCAAATTGTTAATTTTTCTGACCCTTGAGATGTCAGCATCACTGCTAGTCTTAACTAAATCGATAAATAAAATAGTATCTACACTCTTATTTTCGCCACATTTTTGGGGAAGCCACACTCCTGAAATTAACCTTTGCGTAGCTGGCATTTTCATCACTTCCAGCAGCAAAACCTGTAGTGTTTTGCGCCACGTTTTCTCTTGGTTTGCCGTTTTACCAAAAAGCCACCCGATCCCAGCACCACAGAAAGTCCATGTTCACTCAAAGCCCCAAGTCTGGCCCACGGCTGCAGAGGAGCAGCCCCCGGGGAACCCACACACGCAGGTCGATGTCCGTGTGGCGCCACAGACAGCGCCGCTCCTCCGGCCATCCCTGGGGACGGCGCCCCAAACAAACATGGCCGCGCCAGCCCCGGAGCGGGACTTGCCAGGTTCCAAGATGGCGCCAGGGCCAGCTGCTGTGTCAGAGGCGGCTCCAAGATGGCGCCCTCCCGCCCCCGGGCCCCGATGCCAGGATCCAAGATGGCTCCCTCCGCTTCTCTGACGTTGCTCGCGTCCCGCCCCGCCGCCCCCGCGCCCCCAGGCGGTGTCTGCCCTCATCAAAGATGGCGGTGGGCAGTACAGCTGGTCATTAGGCTACCGCGGCTTGCTTCTCGCCGGGGTTCGTGGCCGAGATGGCGGCGGCCGAGTTGGAGTACGAGTCCGTTCTCTGCGTGAAGCCCGATGTCAACGTCTACCGCATCCCGCCTCGCACCTCCAACCGCGGGTACAGGTGAGGCAGCGAGCGGCGGCGCCCGAGATCGCCCCGGCTCGGCGCGGCCCGGCCCAGCCCCTGGCCGCAGGGCAGCCAGGGCCCCGAGCGAGGCCTTAGGGAGCCGTGTCCCGCGGCCGCGAGCAGGTCTGGCCCGTTCCCTGAGCCCCTGCCGGCCGCAGCTCGGGGGGACCCGCCGCCTCGGGTTGCCTCTGGTTGGAGGTGGTCAGCGCCTGAAAGCAGACGCGTGCGGTCCGTGCTGTGCAGGAGCAGGGGCTGCTCTGTCAATCAAGTTCAGGAGGTGAGGGCGCCCGAGCGCCTTGCTGTTCCAGGCAGAGCGGATCGTCGCTCCGGGTTTGCTCGGTCAGCGGGGATATGACTGATGTGCTGTAAGGGCGCGTTGGCTTTGGCCCGTTCGCTCTGGCAGCAGCGGGGAGGCAGGCGGGAGGAATTCTGCGTGATTTTTAAGAAGAGGCTGCAGGACCAGCAGGTAGAATTGCCGTCTCTGATTAGCCGGAAGCAGTGGCGTGCGGTTTTAAAAGCTGTGACCGCAGGCCTGCTGGAGAAGAGGATTTGTGCACTCCCTGAACTTGACTGGCTGTTGGTGCTGTGGATGTTGTAACAGGCCACGGATGTTTGTTTACAGTTGTAAAATCCTGTAGGTTTTACAGAACCAAGTCTGCCAGAGTTCAGGTATTGTTTGGACAATGCTTTCAGGCACATGGTGTGGTTCTTGGGGATGTCCTGTGCTGAGAGTTGAACTCTATGATCCGTGTGGGTCCCTTCCATCTCAGAATATTCTATGATTCACTCGGTGGGTTTTTTTCTCTCTTTCCTTTTTTTTTTTTCCTTCACAAGACTGTGGTAAAGAGTTTGATGGGCTAGTCAGAACATATGATGTTTTATCTGGTGTAAGCCAGGTGCCTACGGGTTCAGAAGTGCTTCATATTAGTTTGCAACAGTGTGGCTTTTCAGCATGCTAATAATTAATTTTTGGGGTCTTCCTGATGCTCGTGTGGCTTTTCAGCATGCTAATAATTAATTTTTGGGGTCTTCCTGATGCTCACAAGTCACTTATTAGTCACTTGTGGATTTCCTGTTCAAGAGAGTTTCTGGGCTTCCGTCTCCCCTCTTCTGTAGGCTTATAAATGTAGAGAGTTGATGTTCTTTGAACTGTGTCTATCTCCCTTTACCCAGAGAGGCCAGTCAAAGTCGTGTGTTGATTGGCAGCAACAGAGAGGATGAGACCCCAGGTGTTGTTTGGGGAGGGAAGTGGAGTGAGGCAGTTTCAGATGTTGAGGATTTGGGAGCAGAGACTTCTTCTGAGATGGTTGGGCAGAAGTAGAAGGGTTGCTGTATGGTCAGTGATCAGCTGCTTGTCCTTTCAGGGCATCTGACTGGAAGCTGGACCATCCAGACTGGACAGGACGGCTTCGTGTCACCTCCAAAGGCAAAACTGCTTACATAAAACTGGAGGATAAGGTTTCAGGTAAGGCAAAGGCTGTGCCTTGGCAAGACTGCAACTGTGATTGCTGCTTGTGAGCCTGTGTTTCTCAGCCTGCTCAGAGCTGTGTGGCAGCCCTGGCCATATTTAGCAAGAGGTTGCTCTCCTTAACACCTGATTCTTTGTCTGCAGGAGAACTCTTTGCCCAGGCTCCCATAGATCAGTACCCTGGCATTGCAGTAGAGACTGTGGCAGATTCCAGCCGCTACTTTGTCATTCGAATTCAGGATGGGACTGGTGAGTTGAGGGACAATGTATGTGCCAAGTGCTAGGGGTGGAGGAGACTTAGCCTGGTGGAGCTGGGTGTTTGCCAGGTGGATTGGAACTGTTTTGGGAGTGCTGGCAAGGCCGAGGAGTGTGCCTGGAGGAGTCAGAAGCTGAGATAAACAGAGGAGGTTCTCTACATTGTACAGAGCCCAGGGGCTGGGAAGGAACGTTTGGTTTCTGAACGTGCCTCATGGGAAGAAGGGTGTATCCTGAAAGCTAGGAACAGTGAGCAGCTGGTGTCCAGCTGCAGCTTTGTTGGAGGGAGGTAGCACAGAGTGATTTAGGAGAAGCAGAAGGATTTTGGAGTGATTGAACACAGGGGCCCATTTGCAGGGCACCTCCAATGACTCCTCCTATCTCCTTGCTAGGACGAAGTGCTTTTATAGGCATTGGCTTCACGGATCGTGGTGATGCCTTTGACTTCAACGTCTCTTTGCAGGATCACTTCAAGTGAGTTGTGCTTTTCTGAAATGCTGTTTTTCCTCTGGCCTGTAGAACGTGGCGGGTGGTGGTGCATGGTCATTCAGTGCAGGCTTCCCTGGGATGGTCCTGAAGCCCTGCTCTAGCAAGGGACACTTGAGTGTGCTGCAAGCAGGGTCAGATCTGTAAGTCTTAAGCTTAGGTCCTGTGATGCTCCAGGTGCAGTGTTACACAGTTTTTTTGGGTTTGTGGTGGTCACAACTTTTTGCTGTACTACAGTGGGAGTAGGGAGGCAGCAGGTTTGACAAGGCAAGGTAGTTTAGTGGGATGGGGAGAGAAACCACACATTTTTCTGAAACCCTGCTCTCTGTTGCCACAGGGTTTCATGTCTTCCTCTCTTCTTTTTAGGTGGGTGAAGCAGGAGACTGAGATCTCCAAGGAGTCCCAGGAAGCTGACACACGTCCCAAATTAGATTTAGGATTTAAGGAAGGGCAGACTATCAAACTAAACATTGGGGTAAGCAGACCAGTTTACTCTGCTTCTTTCTCTGGATGTGCCAGTGGAGACTCTTCTTACGTGTCCTTTTTTTTTTTATACAGAACATGACGACAAAGAAAGGAGGAGCAGCCAAGCCCCGTGCGTCTGGATCAGGTGGCCTAAGCCTGCTGCCACCCCCACCAGGAGGCAAAATTGCAGTCCCTCCTATTCCTCCCCCTTCTTCCACAGCCATTGCCAACCACGTCACACCACCACCTGTGCAGAAATCCAGTAATGCGAGCGGTGCAGGTAAACATTAGCACAGAGCAAATGATCAGGCACCAGTAGGTGCTTAGAGAGAGCTGAGATCTGCTGCAGCAAACCCATGTTCAGCGTCGTGCCAGCAGTGCCCTGTGAGACGTGGTGTGTCCCTGCTATCTTTGGCAGCTCTGGTGCCCCAGTGCAGGAAAGACATGGGCCTGTTAACCTGGGTCCTGAGGAAGGCCGTGGAAATGGTCAGAAGGCTGGAACACCTTTCCTGTGAAGAAAGGCTGAGAGGGTTGGAGCTGTTCAGCCTGGAGAGGACAAGGCTCCGGGGAGACCTCATTGTGGCCTTTCAATATATAAAGGAATCTTGTAAGAAAGATGGAGACTTTTTACCAGGGCCTGTAGTGACAGGACAAGAGGTAAAAGCTTAAACTGAAGGAGGGTAGATTTAGATTGGATATCAGGAATAAATTCTTTACAGTGAGGATAGTGAGACCCTGTAACAGGTTGCCCAGAAAAGCTGTGGGTAGCCCTTCATTGGAAGATTTCAAAGGCCAGATCGGGGAGGGCTTTGAGCAACGTAATTTAGTGAAAGTTGTCACTGGCTCATGGCATGGCAGTTGAACTGGATGAGCTTTGAAGGTCCCTTCCAACCTAAACCATCCTATGATTCTATAACAGAGAGGTTGCTGCAGTCTTCTGGAGGCTGTACTAAAAATGTGACCATGCAGAGGTGTCTGGAGAGCTGATGATACCCTCGTGAAGGCAGAGACTTTAGCAGTGCTGTACACAGGTTTTGAGTGAGAAGAAACCACAAGCTTCTGAATAGGGCATGTGTTGTTCCAGAGCATGGTTTTTAGTATTAAGGTGATGTCTGCTTGGCAACTGTTATGATTGCTGAGCCTTATGTCTACTGGGAGAGGTAATAAGTCACAGATCTGCCAGTTGGTGTGCTAAGTGGAGACCGAAAGGTTTGATGAACCCTTACAGTGTGAGCTGGAGGCTCTGTGCACATTCAGTAAAAGGTGATGCTGTTACAACAAACCTGTTGAAAAGTAACTTCCTTCTTCTGGAAGGACAGCTGGAGTCCTTTAAGATTTTCTGCCCCTGCATCCAGGACTTTGTTAAAGGTGACAGTTTAAATGCCTGTGGGTTTTCTTCTTGATTAGCTTGATGGGTTTTTTTCCTTCTTTCCTCCCATAGATATTCTCTTAGACTTAGATGCTCCTGCATCTGCATCCAAGGCACCAGTACCAGCTACCACAGACCTCTGGGGAGACTTCAGCACTGCATCCAGGTAAACTGATGAAGGGAACACAAGAAGGGTAGTGTCCTAATGGGCACTGGAAGAACCATAAGTTAAGAAGTCTTATTAGATCTGCCCATTTGACTCTCCTTTCTTTATTGCAGCGCTGTTCCCAATCAGGCTCCTCAGCAGTCCAACTGGGTCCAGTTCTGAATGATCAAAGCAGTGGAATGGGGCAAACTGATGACCAAGAGGCACTAGAGGCACCCAATGGGATCAGAGGGGGCACAAACCTCTCTAGTCTTCAATCAAAAACAAATTTGGACAATCTTTCATTTTTAAACCAGACCTTCACTTCAGTAAAAACTTACTATTTTTGATCCCACTGAACCAAAAGAGAACATACTCCTCCCAAGATGGGCAAGGAGGAGAGAGGTAGCCTTATCTCTTCCACCTACTTGGCCATTAAATGGTACATCCTAGCTCTTTTTCCC